TTACGGAGAAAAACCACAGCACACAATTTGTTCCCAATTCTTTTCAGAATATTGGGCACAATTACTACATGCGAATAAAATATTATGATTTATAATTCAGCGGATATCGTTAATTTGTTTATTTTTTCGAAAAGTTGTGTTTGTGAATGTAGTACGTTTATAAATGCATAAAAGCGCATGACTGCGATATTAAAAGGGACCTTTTCGTTTTCAATTTAATAAGACAGTGAAATATTGGTAATGAATTAAAAAAATATCAACCAATTTAAGTCAGATCACGTTTATTAAGTTTTAATTTTCATATACACAAGATGCAAAAGTAACTTTTTCTGTGTCACGAGTACATGGAAACTGCATGTCAAATTAGACTATGACAAAATCTCTATCAGTAAAGCGAGATCAAGTTGGCTTTGATTTTACACTCAAATAGTATTATAATGACAAGATAAGTTTCACATTAAATTTTGTTTACAATAAGTATACGAAAACACAGTATGTAAGAGTGTATGAAAAAGAAAAATTTTCTATTTTCTGAGATTCATTTGTATACATGTAGTTTCACCGCAACTTAACAATTTATTTCCCGAAGTTCGACATCAATTGATTTGCCTTTAGCAGTGCTTAAAGCAATATGAGCTGCAGTTTGGGGAAAGAAAATGATGTTTAAATGTGTTATAATGATTTATTTGTATTTAATTTTAATCGTTTTATTTAAAAATGCCAAAATAAAAATTCACAATTATTTCAGAAAAATATTTCCTTACAGTCCAATGCATAGCATTATATAAGAAATAAAAAATAACCATGATAATATTAATTTCACTTTGCATATATTAGAGCAAATTCCATCACAAATAAAAACAACAGAAGTTTATAAATGCTCCTTTTTTTCTGCCATTGATATAGTTGCTTACAAATTTGCAACAAAAAGTTGCTCCATCCCAAACTTGCAGCTCATATTGCTTTAATCTTTCAATTGTCATTATATTGCACTCCAAATTGCTATTGCACTCAAAGGTGCTTTTAATTTATCAATTGTAAAAAAATATTCCTATACGTAAATGAAGTTATATGAACCTTTACATATGAGGAAACCATCGCTGTAATAAGCAAAACATCTTACACTGCAAATGCAGCTTTTTGAAGCACTGGAAGTAATAATTGGAAATGTATTTTGGTTTTCAAGAAACAATGCTTTTATATTTTTTTTTTCTTAATATTGCTTTAAGATATTGAAATCCTTTTTACAACTCATTCCATGAAAATATTAAGTTCAATCTGATTTCGTCCTTGGTTAATATTGACTTTAGGACAATGCCTTATAAGTAGCCAGAACGAGAACAATAGGGACAGTAATTATCAGTAAATGTCAGCACTTGTCTAAGTTTTTCAGCAGGGACAGTAAACGGGTCAGTAATTGTCTAAGTTTATCAGCACCGACTAAGATTGTCAGCACTTTTCTAAGTTTATCAGTACCGGCAGTAAAAAGGTCAGTAATTTTTTAAGTTTGTCAGTAGAAAATGGGAATGTCAGTACGTTTCTGACTTATTAGTATGTCCGTATTTAACATCATCAGATTCAGTATAAAATTCAGATAGGAAAGTTCATCGATTTTTTTCTCTTTTTTTGTGGTCATTTCATCTTTTGTGCAGATGAAATCTTTATCAAAAGTCCAATGACATCCCATACTGTACAAGGTAAAAAAAAATCATCATTGTTTTGTTTTAATTTCTCTTGTAGTGAGTTTAGTTTTGTTTTTTTTTTTCGCAACCTTACTATAAGTAGTTCTTATAAGAATAAAACTTCTTGGTTCAAAATTTCCTGAATTATGTATATCTTCTCCTAAATAAATTCCCTTTGATAGATATTTTTCTCTACATTGAACTAGCAAGAGATTTTTTTTTTGCTAAAGAAGACAGGAGCAAGACAGGTATCTGTCAGAGACGATCAATATCACCTACCAGAATCCCTCTTTATCTTAATATGTCATTTTATAAGATCCTGTGTACATGAAAAAGTGACCTACCTCCCCACTCCCACCCCCCTAAAAATATCTTAAATAAATCAATTTTCATCTACAGTCACTATAAACCTATCCAGCAACTTTTAAATCAATAGTTGTTAACAAGACCATTAAAGATACCATCATTCAGAAAAAAGTAATGCAGATCGAAGTCAAAACTTAGTCTTTTTGTCTTTAACACATCAAGGTTTAATAACATATGGAAAATCAGCTCAATATCTGCGAGCGTTTAGTAAAAAGTAAAAATTCGGAAAAAAAACTGCTCAAATGAGGAGATCGTAAATCCTTAAAAAACAATGAAGCGGAACGAAATAAAAACAAGGTGTATAACTCATCAAGCTTTACTCGAATACCAAATTCAATTTTCAACTGAATATTTGCAAGCGTTAAGAAAAAGGCTACGGAAAACCAAGTGACACAAACGCACGAAATGGCTCTGAAGAATTCCATACATAGGCTCCTCTGGTTTCAACACTAGGGGAATAAATAATGTTGTGAACGTTAACTTCAGCAAGGACTGAAGCTCAATCATAGTGCATTGCATTGTATTCATAAACTTAGAATGTGTTCAATATATCACGTTCAAGGAATTTAACAAATCCGGCTTTTCTAGTAATATGTATTAAACGTGCATGCTATTGAAGCATACAAACATGTAAATGAGCAAAAAGGTAATGTGCAAATGTACAAAATGCAAAAAGAAAAAAATAATTAGTGACATGTATGATATTTATCCTAATTTTACGCATTAACTCTTGTTTATGATTTACTGTTGACTTTTTAAAATTTTAGATCCTATTTGAGTATATATTAGAGTATGTACACAATAAAGCAACGCAAAATAATAATCGACAAATGTCTTGGCGCACAGACAAGAATTTAAATTAAAACCAGATTAATTGACCTTGATCATTACTAATGAAATGTTGAATTGATGTCCTTTTGTCTTCCAACATACATAGGCAATTTAGCCACATATGATCCACATATGCATTGCCTTTCATATGAAGATCATATGTTGATCATATGAGAATCATATGTATATACAATCATATGAGAATCATATGTGGCCAATCATATGAGAATCATATGATCATACATATGTGAATCATATGAAGTAATATACATATGATTCTCATATGAAATATCCTGCATATGAGAATCATATGAATATTCTGACAATAATCATATGAGAATCATATGAAACTGAACATATGAGAATCATATGAAACAATGTTCACTAATTTGTCCTTGTTATACTCAGGTAAAATTGATACGAATGTTTTGACTGTGATCATATGAGAATCATATGAAACGGTGATCATATGAGAATCATATGAAACAGTGTTCACTTATCTTTCCTTGTTATACTGAAGTAAAATTGCAATTTCAATTATATATATCAAAAGATGAATTTAAATGTACATTAATTCAAAAGAATTTGTTAATAATTAATTATATGTAAAGTTCTACTTTGTAACCCCCCCCCTTTCCTTCTAAAAAAAAAACCTTTCACAATTTTTTTTTCTGTTAGAATGCATTTCCCAGACAAAATAGATAAAGAATAAATTAATTTGCTTTTCATTTTAAATCTTTTGGGTTTGGCTAAGTAAAGTTAAAATAATTCCGTACTTTTCTCCGGGCCGGTTTTGTCTTTTATCGGATGAAAATATACGTCAATTTTGACGTCACTGCTGCAGCAGACGTGTTGGGTGTTTGGAAAAGGCAAGTGATCTCCTAACAATAATATTTTAAAGACTTTTGATTCATATTGTTTAAATATAATTTCATTATTGTTACAGGTGCGTATGAACTCTCTACCGATATATTTTTATTTATTTATTTATTCAATTTGACAAAAACCACATGTGGCGCAAGTCATACATACAGTAAACAAATATAAAATATATAGTCACATAGATTTTCTTATATTACATGCATCACGTATGAAGTTACAAATATTCCTTGTAGAATTAACATCTGCTGGATTAAGAATTTCATAAGATACCCAGATAGCATGACTCCGTTGGGCCAACGTTGGTTTTTGGTTGTATGGTTGGTGGAGTGTTGGCGTTGGGGAACAGATATAGGCCCAACGTTGGTCCAACGTTCATTTACGTTGGCATGAAAGCTAAACCAACGGTGTTGGACATGTGATATTGGCCCAACGTTGGTCCAACGTTCATTTACGTTGGCATGAAAGCTAAACCAACGGTGTTGGGCATGTGATGTTGGCCCAATATTGGCCCATTGTAGTTACATGTTGACAAGAAACATAGCGATTTGGTGTTGGACATTAAGATGTTGGCCCAACATAGGTCCAACCGAGTAAATGTTGACATGGATTAAGACCATTGTGTGTTAAATATGAAAAGTTGGCCCAATGTAGGTCTAACTGAGTACACGTTAGTGGCAAAACATTGCCACTTATTGTTAGTTATTCAATGTTGGCCCAACGTTGGCCCAGCTTAATAAATGTTGACAATATAATGATGCATTGCTCTGTGTTGGGCGTGCTTGACTGAACTGGAGTTGGTCAAATAGTAGGAATACTGGGATTACTAGTATATGTACAGGTAGCCTGTAATGTTTGAGATGAAATGCTGGTCCAACGTTGGCCCAATGTTGCGAAAAGTATTCATCAATTTAGATTTATCTATTGTAAATCGATGGTAATGTAATAAGCAACTCATTATAAACATGTGATCTATATTATATATTGAATGGAAATTATGAGACAATCCTTTTAAGTCTGTGAAATACATATAGTAATTTTATATCTTGGTAGATTCTATATTTAGCATAATTGAATCAAATTTAAAGTGCTGTGTTTTGCAAGTTTTGGGCTCCAAAATAAATAGGTCACTGGTGAAATTCACTGGCTCGGCAGGTGACTCATAGGTCTCCAAGGAAACCGTCATCTTTAAATCAGATTTTTTTAACCACGAACTTTAGCAGTTCAAAGCGTATGTGTCTGTTTAATCCTTTCAATGTAAGTATAGCTTTTGTTTTTGTTATTGAAATAATTAATAATGTGAAATACACAACATTGTAATGGCCTGCATGTAGGCTTTCAAATTATTGGTACCAGGTAGCTGATTAAACAATTGTAATTGATGACGACCTTAACTTTTTATAGGAATTGGCGGGCTTGAACAGAGCAGATATGTCCGGATCTGTAAGTGAACGCAAGAATGTTAACCAGTGAAATGTAAGTAACTATTTTGTATTTGTTTTTAATAATTACTAATGTGAAATTCAATTTTAAGGATTGCTTTAAAAATATGTGTGATGATGATGAACATTTGAAAATACTATTTTAATTGATGACAATCTTAACGTTTGCAGGAATTGCCGGGATGGAAAAACCCTCTTCACTCTGAGACTATTGATGTGGCATTTCTGTATATGGAAGGGACTGATTTATATGTGTGGGAAACATGGATTCTAAGAACAGATAAACAACAGAAAAAGTGATAAGTGATGCAAATATGACCTTTCAAAACTCTACAGTTAGAACTTGAAGACTCTTATATCAAAGTGATATTTAGTAGTGGACATAGTGATGAGGAGTGTACTTGAGAAACATTGAACTTTCTACCTCTTCCTTCTTTTAGTTACATTCCATGGAATACTTTAATGAAAGTGAAAGTGGCAAAGAATATATTGTGATACATTTTAGGAGGAAAAAAGTATTTGACCAAACATGGTGAAATTAATTGTGTCGTATAATCTGGGAAATAAAAATTACAGAATTTAATTAATTTTGTAAGACATTTGTATTGAGGAATAATTGTGTCATTGATATTTCAAGAATCAGCTGCTTTGTATCAACGTTGAACCAACGTAATAACTATATTTTGAACTGAGGTCCAATGTAGGGCCAACGTTACAAAATATTTGGTTAGCATCGGTACGTTGGAATAGCGTTGTACCAACGTTGGCATTTCAACAAAAACGTTGTACCAACGTTGGACCAACGTCGGACCAACGTCATGATTATATTTTGAACTGAGGTCCAACGTTGGGCCAACGTTAAAAAAATATTGCGTTGGCGTTGGTATGTTCGAATAACGTTGTACCAACGTTGACAAATGAACAAACAGTATTGTACCAACATTGGCCCAACATGTTGGGCCAACGGCGCGCCAATGAGCAGTAAGACATTGGGCCAACGTAAAACTGCCAACATTGGCCCAACATAACCGACATTGTTGGGCCAACGTTGGGCCAATGTCCTCATGCTATCTGGGTAAACAGGTTTTATTAAAAAGTGTACAAAATTCACTTCTTAGTTGTTTATATAGAGGACATACAAATAAAAAATGATGTTCATCTTCAACCACATTTTTACAATTAATACAAAATCTTTCATCTCTTGGTATAATTGGGTTACAATATCTGCCAACCTCTATCTGTAATTTGTGAGCACTTATTCTCAATCGAGTCAAAAAAGAACGAAGATTCTTGGAAATGGAAAAATTTAAGTATGGTTGAATTTCAAGTTTGTTTAGATTCCCTTGACTTATTAACTGGCTGTAGAATGATAATTTGCCATTACCCTTTTCTCTGATATTTATTATATCCTTAAAAACTATGTTCTCAAAATATTTTTTCAAATTATTTTCAAAATCATTTATTGATAATGTATTAGCATTTGAACCAATAACTTCAACAAGTATAGTTTGTATACAGTTATGCCAACATGTTTTCCCACTTCCTGCAAGTTTTTCATCCTCTAAATATGCATGTTGTAAAAGTAAGTTTGAATTTTCTTGATCTGCAACAAGTTTTTTAAATCTATAATAATATCTAAATAATAATTTATAAACTCTGAAAATAATGGGAAGTGCACCAAACTCTACTCTAACTGCTAAATTAGAAGCTTTATTATGGACCCCTAAAATGTCTTTCAAGATGAAATTTTGAATATATACTCTTATCACTTGCATCATGCATGTAATTGTTAAATCAATGCATTTCGTAAACCTAACGAATAACGTTCGTGATCTGTAAGTAAGTTTGGATAAAATTTGTTTCTGAATGAATGTAAACATTACATGTTAGGCTAAAGGCATCACTACATTTTAGAACTTGAATTTGTTTTCGTTTTGTTACGTACTGATATGAAAGTGAAAGTAGAAACCTTGTATGTCGTTATGTATATATGTTGAGATCGTTATCAAATCCGGATTCCTTCTTAATGACAAATGTTTGTTATTATGGCCTATAGATGCATTCGGCAACTTGAGTTCAGTGTCACAGTGCTGTTTTTTTTTTCAGTCCAAAGAGCCCGAAGCTGATAAGACTGGCGATTGATCCTGAAGCTGATTTGACAGACGATTGCATCATCACAATATTGAAGGTAAAAATAAATACTTGAAATAAAAAATCAAAGTATCTGTAATGTCTCTTTATGACAAAATATTTCTTGATAATTTCTTTTTGTTCTTTTATAATTCTACATTGTTTGCATGGCTTCATAAAAAAAATTCAACTCAACTCAATACTCTAGAAATTTTATTCTACATTATAATTTAAATCCAGTGCACTTAAAATATGCAAAGTATGAATAGATTTTGCTGGCTGTAAAGGCTATGAAACTATAAAGTATACAATAAATTTGTGGGGAAAGGGGGGATAAATTGGATTTTTGAATTTCCACTAAAAATTTATAACAGTGACATCCAACTTTAAAGGTATGAATACATGTGCATGTGTGTTGAAAGAACATCAGCTAGCTAATCCATTGAATATTTACATCTATGTGTTCATTTACTGACAATTATTTTTTCCCCCCAACACTAGTGAATGGTGTGCGTGCCTATAGTTTCGGGTTAAATGTTAGATATATTGAAGACTATAGAGAACCTACAAACTTGTACTCTCTCATTTTGATAGTTTAAGTTTTAATTAAATGTATTCTTAGAAAATATCTACTGTGTGAGACTGTGAGTATTTGTCTTACAGGTTCAATATACAGTCAGCCTCTCATAAGATAAAGAACAAATCCCAAGATCCAAGGCTTGCTTCAAAGTTAAGGTAACTACACACTGTTAAATAAACTTTGTTATAGTCTTCCCAAAAGTTTGGGATATCTTGGAATCACAATGTCTGTTTTTCTGCCTGTCTACTTGTCTGTAGTATTTTTTGTCCAAAAATAATATACATGTATCTGTATCAGAATCTTCTTAATTTTTTGACAATCTGAATTAATATATACTGTTTGAACATTCCAAATTTAATTGTCAAAATAACAAAAAAAATGCTTTTTATGATTTTACTATGCAGCATATATTTCAATAGTGTAATTGTGTAGCAAATTACATCATAGGATTCCTCAAAACACCTAGTATAACATATTTAACATTAGTTTTATCTTGTATCATATCTGTGTCAGTGAATTGGGCATACATTTGTTTGCTGATTATACCTAAGTAACTTTTATAACTCATAGAATTTAAGAATTATTTTATTTTTACTTTTGAAATTTTTGTAGAGAGCATTCAGTGCCGCAAAGAAATTGTTCAGGAAAAGGAGAAGTGGTGGATATTCATTTTTGGTACGGTACAGTTCAAAGAGATTTTCAAAATGGTCATGGAAGATCAAAGGGAGGACAACTGAAAAAACTGAAAGATTCAGAAGGAAAAAGAGCAAAGAAATATATGGTATAATTATGAAATGGGGAGGATGTACACAATCTTATCTGAATTTGACCTGTAAAGATTTCCCATATTGTATGCTGGAATAATCAATAACTTGATTTTCATAAATTTACAATAGAGAATACATGACAAATGTTATTGCTGATATTTCAATGCTGCTTTGGACACTTTCCTGTCATATGGTATTTTTATACATTACCTAATTATGTTATTCATTTGTACATGTACATTATACATGTTTAACTACTAAATCATTTTGCTGAAATCTTATAATTTGTACTCATGTTAGAATATGTTTAATACATGTATATCGACAAATGCTAATGACTTGTTAGTATATTTTCTTGTTTAGAATGTACACTGTGAAAAATAAGTTATTTCTCTTGATGAAAATAATTTTATCAAAAAAGTTGTGTAAGCATTTTAAGATATTTTAAAATATTTAACCAATGAAGATAGATCATTGTAATGTAATGAATTTTCATCTAAAGCAGAAATATCTGATTTTTAAATGTGAACAAGAATGTGAAAAATATTGAAAAAGAACACACAAGTGTTTCATATGATTTACATATGATGTACTTTTCATATGATTCTCATATGTAAATGGCTTGAAACACACATAAGTGTTTCATATGATTTACATATGATGCCATTTTCATATGATTCTCATATGTAAATGGCTTCAAACACACTTAAATCATTCATACGAAAATCATATGTAGTTATTTTCATATGATTCACATATGTGGATCATATGTAAATCATATGATTTGCTTCATATGATTCACATATGATGCCCTTTTTCTATGATTCTCATATGAAACCAATCATATGAGAATCATATGATACTCATATAAGAATCATATGTGGCTAAGTTGCCTGTGTATTGAACTATTTAAAAAATAATAATGGTTTTGCGTGAATAAGACAATGAACTATGCATGTGTTTTAGTGTACATGTCAATGTTCAATACCTTTCAGAAAATTTTTAGAATAGAATTTTAGCTCTTTTTTATCATGCCGTGATCATATCATGTGTTTTTGTTTATGAATAAAGCATCGTTTCAGTTTTAACGAAATTTTCCATTTACAAAAACTTTTATCTCTGAAGCGTTTGTAAAACTATTTTATGAGTGTTACCTGTCCACTCGTCGCTGCACAAATTAGATAAATCCAAAAATAAATGTATTTTTTGCTAAATATACGTCACAAATCACGGGGTCTGTCCTTGTTTTCTGTATTTTTTCTTCATCTCATTTTGCAATTTCAGACTTTAAACATTCACTGATCACCTTTTTTTAAATTTTAAAATCAATCTCAATCTTTTAATAATTAACCTCTCAACTTCTATGATCATGTTTTTAAGCATGGAATTGCATATTTCTGCCCCCTACATGCAAAATAAATTATATACCGGTAACATGCAACATTTTTATATAAATGTTAACATTCCGAATAATTATGTTGACATGCTAGTTACCCCTCTTATTGGAAAACATAGTTTAAAGATTGGTTGATTTATTTGATAACGTCATGATCTGACATCATACATGCAAGACACAAGATAATTATGTTGTCATGAGACTTATTTGTGTCAACATGCAAGATAATGATGTAGACATGCAAGGTATTTTATCACCATAAGATAATTATGTAGACACCCCATTAAGACTTATTTTTGTCAAAATGCAAAATATTTATGCTAACATGCGAGTGAATTATGTCACCATGCAAGATATGCAATTTATTATCTTGCATGTTTACATAATAAATTTTTATGTTAAAATATAGCTTGCATGTCGACATAAATAAGTCGTTTTGTGACCCAAATAAGAAGCATGTTAACATACATGTAGGTATAGTGTATGTTGACATAAACAAGTCGTGTGTCTATTGTATACATGGAAATTTTTGCCCCCTTTTATTTTTTGCCCTTTTGCCCTCGTTGAGAGTGAGCGAATTTAAAACGGAGCGAATTCAAAGTAAGGAAGGATATGGAAATAACGGACAGTTTTCAATCTCAACGTCAATTAAACAACTAGTGCTAATTGTAACGGGAACCGTTACAGATGTTCCCCAAACGCTCCCCAACTCTGTTTCGGTGCCTATATTCCCTGTAAGCTTCATTAAATAGGACAAACTCTGTGCATTTTTGACTTTAACAACGTTTTTTCCAGAAGGATACCAATTATATTCAATTTTTAGCATTGCACCCAAGCGCATGTGAATGCATGTGCGTTATGACCATATCATCTTGTCTATCAAGAGTAGTTTTATAAATACTCGTTTCAAATGCACGCACGTGCGTGCACGTGCATGATGATCATACCTTCTGGTAGGATTCCCTTACATCTATCCATGTTCTAAATCCCATCCTGTTTGGTTGAAAAACAAGGGAGCTATAGCCATTTAAAGTTTCAGCCAATCAGATTGCAGCACACGTGCATGCACGTAATTTCATAATTTTTTTTAAATATCATAACGTAGGATATCATAATGCATGACTATATGTTAAATTTCAAAGAATTTCGTCAAAAAACAAAGGAGAAATAGCAATTTAAAGTTTCAGCCAATCAAATTGCAGCACACGTGCATGCGCGTGATTTCATGATTTTTTTTCTATATCATTTTGTAGGATATCCCAATGCATGACTATATTTTAAATTTCAAAGAATTTCGTCAAAAAACAAAGGAGATATAGCCATTTAAAGTTTCAGCCAATCAGCTTGCAGCACACACTCATGCGCATGCTTTCATGAAAATTCTTATATATCATGCGGTAGATCATTATAATGTAGGACTATGTTCAAAATTTCAAAGGATTATGACAAGAAACAAGAAAGTTATTGATACTTTAGTTTCAGCCAATCAGAGCAAAGCGCACGTGCATGCGCGTGAAATCTTGCTATTTTGACCATGCTTTCTTGTCTATACTACTAATGTATCCTTACATTATGAGTTTCAAAAAATTTCATCAAAAGATAGAAAAGTTACGGCAATATCCATTATATTGGTAATTTCACCTAATGCACGTGAGCGCTCTTGCAAGCACGTGCGCGCAAAATGACCTTTGTTTGGCAACTCTACATAACATGCCTACTAACCCTAAAAAGGTTTCACCTAAGTCGGATGTGTAGTTTACAAGATCACTCGTGGACAAAATTTTCCCAGGAAGAAGAAAAATAATAATAATAATAATAAGAAACAGAGTAAAAACAATATGTTCCCCAACTTCGTTTGGGGAACATAATAAACAAAATAAGAGCAGAGCAAACACAGACCTCCGAACTATCAGAAGTGGGATCAGGTGCCTTGGAGGAGTGAGCATCTTCTGCTGACCGGTCACACCCGCCGTGTGCTCCTTGTCATAATCGGGAAATAATGGAAAAAACTTTCATCAATTCAGTGTTTAAATAATGGACTAACAAATAGTATGAAAAACGTCAGTCAGCATTTGACTCAATGATAAATTGTATTTGCTGACAATGTCAATGTATCGACCATAGAATTTACGAAATGATGACTTTAAACGAGACCGTTGATATTCTTGTTTCATCAACTTGCCTGTCAATAATTTACATGTACCTCGTTTAGGAAATTGTTCATACGTAGAGCATGCTCTTGCGTATCGAATCAACTGAGATATATATACTCCGTATGCAGGTGATGAAGGTACATTGCTGCATAAGTAAGGGAAGTGGACAATAGAAAAGTTAAAGTCATCCCATTTATCATATTGCTTGGTTGTTAGACTACATGTACCATAAGTATCTTTTTCAAGTATATAACCAAGCATGAAGCAGAAGTGTCGGACTCTGTGGTATCTTTTATCTCAAGCTCACCAGGATATATCGTGTCGACGTAGGAATGGAAATTATCATTATTAATTGACAATACGTCGTCGATATATCTAAATGTCGAGTTGAAGGCCACAGCAAGTGTTTTCTTCTTTTCACGCATAAGGTTTTGCATAAATTCTGCTTTATATATGAATATAAAAATAAGTCTGCTAATAACGGAGCGCAATTTGTACCCATGGGAATTCCAATAGATTGTTGGAATACCTTATCTCCAAAAACCACATAGATATTTTCAATCAGAAACTCAAGCATATTTTTGATGTCAACTTCAGAGTACTTATGTGTGCAATCAGAATCTGTTTTAACAAAATAATTTTTCAAATGACCAATGACGAGGTAAGTAAATTTACAAGTTCCATTTTTGTTGAAGAAGCAGCTGTCAATGATATCAAAAAGCCTGGATTTTAATTTGTCGTGGGGAATTCTTGTGTATAAAGTTGAAAAGTCGTAAGTTTTTAAGCTGTTGATTTTTGTAAAGTCTTGTAATTTCAAATTGTCTAAAAGCTCTTTAGAATTTTTAAGTATCTACATCTGATTTACATCACTTCTTGAATATATAGTTGTACAGTACTCTTGAAGTTTTTCCTTCACTACTGTCAATATTTTAGTGAGAAGTAACGAAAGAGGCTTGGTTGAACATTTACTGGAACCTGCAATGTATCTTTGTTTGTAAGGATTCTTATGAAGTTTCGGAATCCAATATATATTAGGTAGTTCAAATTCATTTTGGCTCTGTGGAATATTAAAAGTATTCAAAACTGATAGGTGATTTTGAAGAATTTCTTCCTTAGAAAGAGAAGAATGGGTATAAGTAGGATTACCACTTGTAGAATTAAATCCAAGATCTTCTAGAATGCAATTTATATAATGAGCCTTACAAACGAAGACAATGTTGTTACCTGCTTTGTCGACAGGAACCAATACGTACTGATCGTATAATCTATCTATTTCTTTTTTCACTTCAGCTTTATTGAACACAAAAGGATAGATGGTTTTCATTTTGCCTCTCAATCTATTAATACGTGACTTTAACATGGATTTGATACATTTAATCCATTCTGACTAGGTTTCAATGTCTTCTTTTTCATATCTGGCCCATCGTCTGGCGTAATTTTCAACAGAATC